GTCATTTTAATACTCTGTTTGTAATCAATGTTCAATATAACTTCAATTTAAATTAACAAAATGTGTGACCAATAGTCCAGTATATCAAATATTATAGATAATCATTATATCTATTAATTGAGTAAATATTTAAAGTATAAAAATAGAAACCATAATTTACTGTATACTCTATCTAAAACTTAATTATATACCGGTATAATAAATCAAATTGGATAATTAAAATTAAAATATAATAAATTTAATAATTTAGTTTTAAACAATTTTAATCTTTTACAATATTTATTGTCCTTATTTTTTAATAAAATTGAACATATTTATTCCTAAATACTGTATTTTTAATATTAAATTGAATGATTTTATTTAAATAATTTATTTTATCATATAATAACAGATAATAAAGTTTGAAAACAGTTTTAAAAGTTTTTTTTGTAATAATTTTTGATATTTCTATTAGTAATGTAACAAATTCCAGATTTATATAAATAATTCATACAGTAGCATTTAAAAAATAATAAAACAATTCTCAAAGGTTTTTACTTAAAATTAATTAATTATAAATTTACTTTAATTAATAAAATATTTTAACAATAAATAGCCAATAGATGGCTAAATGGGTCCCACAAATGCCACAAATTCAGTGAACACTTAATAATTTGGAAATTTATTTGTAACTTAATTATAGGAATAAATCAAACTATTAAATATGCCATGAATTTAAACAAATACTATATTTAAGATATCTAAAGTTTAGAAATTTATTTGTAACTTAATTATCAATAATAAACCACACTATTAGGTAAGCACTAAATCTAAACAAATTTTTAACAAATTGATTGAACATCTAATAGTTTGGAAAATCATATGAAATTTAATTGTAACCAATAAACAGTGAATCAAATAGATAATGTTCAATTCAATTTTAATTAAAAATTTTTTGTCATTAATTAATTTTTTATATATATAAATTATACAAATTACACAATATATATACCAAATTATATTATATTTTAAATGAACAATAAAAATTATTTGCCTAAGATTAAATAAATATAATAAAATTAATAAAACTTTATAGCCAAATCAAAATTTAAATTAATACAGAATATTCTGTACAACACTTGAATGGCATTTTATAGTCCATTTCCAGTTATCCTTTCGATACGTTATACAAATGCTAATAATTACATTTTTGTATCAAAATGTGTTTTAATTATAATTATTAAGATTATTAATATTATAATTAAGATTTTATTTATGTAACAATAAATTGTATGTATTTTTATTTATAATCATGCGATTTTAATACCTGTATTCTTAAACAAGCACAATTTTAGCAATCAATGTATTTTTAAAACATTAAACAATTATGTGTAAAAATGCCATTTTAATATTAATACAATTTATTTCAATAGTTATTGCAATATATTTTATTACCATTTTTATTAAACAAGCACAATTTTAGCAATCAATGTATTTTTAAAACATTAAACAATTATGTGTAAAAATGCCATTTTAATATTAATACAATTTATTTCAATAGTTATTGCAATATATTTTATTACCATTTTTTGCATCCATTAAAAAACTTACTTGTAAGCCTCAATTCTTTGCATTCCTAGTATTATTACCGTGGTACATTCAAAGAATTATGAGTTTAATATAAATTTTATTTTATTACAAGTAGTTTGAGAACTAACAGAATGGTATAAATACAGTATTAGATAATGAGTACATTTGTGGTGTATTTGTGTGAACGAAATGTTTGTGATTAGTCTAAGAGTTTGTAATAACGTTGAGATCATATTTACGGATACAATGATCTCTACAGGCGGTGAACACATGAGTGCCATCAGTGGCCACATCATAGATGGCCTCGAAATCAGGTCCACTCAACTGAAAAGTTTCTGAATCTGAGTCTAAATAGTGATAAACAGTGGATCCGTCCGCTCGACCCGCGAAGAATCCATTCCTCTGTTTATGTCTGAACGCAAGAAGTGATAGAACGGGTGAACCACTCGTTTGCCAACATTTGACAACTTTATCACTATATCTCACATCAATTAACTGTATTTCACCACTTTGTTGACCAAACACTACACTGTATTCATCCACAAAACGACACACATTTACGGCTGAATTGTTGGGCAATTCATATAACTATAAAAAATGGCATCAATACAACTGCTATTTATCAATAGTATAGTCAGTAATACCTTTTGATTGCTATCCAAACCAATGCCAATAAGACTACCCTTTTCAGTGCCGATGACTAACATCTTACGAGCGGTTCCGACAGCTTTCTCGTGGACAGGCTTATGCCGAACCCCGAGGTCTACGTCACTGGCCATCGATTGTATGGCACACGTATTGATGGCAGTGGCGCTCAATTGGATGATAGTCTCCAAACAGCTACTTGTACTGCAATCCCATAACCTGGAGGTGCCGTCACGCGATACGGTCACCAAATTGCGTCCGCGCTCTACAAACGCCGAGTCGAGGATTGCGTTCCTGTGGCCAACCAGAGTGGCCGCACACTCGCCGGTGACTGCCGACCAGATCTTCAGCTGCATATCAGCGCCACCGCTAAGTATCACTTCACCCGATGGGAAGAACCGACAGAAATAGGGCTCAAACACGTGACCAATTAGTTCCCGCTATGCATATGACACACGAGATTAGTGTTATAGATATGTCCACAACTTTATGGATATGTCTGGTTATACTCGTGTCTGTCCATCAGCTGAGGACCAAACTCTGAGTCTACTGTCGGCGCCCACAGACACTCCGAGACCACCACTCGTCAAGTCTATACTCGACACCTATAGAGGCAATGGTATTGAGATTATGGACACGGATTCAATGCAAACGACAAATATATTACAGATTTGTTGTGAATGTCTGCGAAGACATGATTGGCTGCTATAAAGCCATACAATTGTTTCGTGTCTTTGTTCTCGAGTCTTAAGTAATACTGAAAATGCAAAACAAGAATGAGATGGCAGTGTATAACACGAGTGTCAGTTGACATACATTTGATGGTAAGGTGATGTGAAAGGGGTCGCAGTCCACGACTTGGCGGTCATTGAAGCGAATGGTCTGATGGACACTCACTTCGGACATAGACTTCGATGACAACCAGACATTAGCGACGGGTCTGTCAAGTGATCGACAATAATGACGGGAAAAGTCGATACAATTGATTGGTGTCTGAGACTTACCGTCTGATGACTTGATCCCAATCGCTCTGAATAGTGATCATTGGATACGATATTGAATTGGATCTCATTGTTTCGCGCAACGAAGAACTCTTAACCACAGATGACATGCAAAGTGTCAAGTTTTGTGAACTTTAAACACAAAACAACACAAAAACTCAAACTCTCAAAACAACACAACTATTGCCAGAAAACTGGCGCTAAATTCAAGCGAAGTATGGATTATATAATGTTTAATTGTGACTAGGGACAATTTTTAAAGTTAATATAAATACTGTAAGTGATAGTTGCAAGGACAAATGTTGCCAATCTATTGGTGACTTAAATTATTTAAGTTAAATACTGTTTACGATAACATTTTGCCCCTAATACTGTAACTATTAATAATTTATTATTAAATAGCCATAATATTTTATTTTTTGCTAGTAATGTTATACGGTATAATATTTTGTGTTACTTGTAAATTAATTAAAATAACTTTATTCATAATAAATATTTTATTAAATTAGATAAATATACATTGTATATTATACAAATAATATAATCGTAAATATTGATGAGGGCATACATGAATGCACCAACTTTAAAATATTGTATAATTTTAGTTTCGTGATTATTAATGTTAAATACAATTTGATTACAATATTGTATAACTTTTGCCAACTATTCTGCACTAATGTTTGAACTCATACTGTATGACCACTTATGTACAGTATTGAGTTTTAACTTAAAACTTT